TACTCATACAAATAGGTTGTAACATCATCAACTAGATGTAAATGATGACCTTTTTATGCAACAAGGCTAATCAAATATCGAAAATGTTGTTGCATCCAATATTAGTGAAAACAATCAATACCAGGTCTTTGCCAAAAATTTTGAATAACTAATCGTGCTTTGTATCTAACAATTTCACCATTCTTATTTTGTTTTGCACGAAAATCCATTTGTACCCAAGGGTTTTACACCCTCAGGTATGCAAACTACGAGTCCAAAAACTTTTCGTTTAGCAAGCAAATCTAATTTTGCTTCTGTTGCATCTTTTCATTTTGACCAATCATTTATTTGACAATAATTTTCAATGGTTGTTGATTTTTTATTTTCATTGTTATTCATAACATTCATCGTTATATTATATGCAAAATTTTTGTTAATGTTGACGTGATTTTGATTCCATATAATCTTATTCATGAAATAATTTATTAAGATCTCATCATTTACAACAATTTCACATATTTAAAGTTCTTTTGGAACCAAATCATTATCTATGTCAAAAAAATATTTTGGGATTTCCACCCTTTCAATTAGGTCATCTTGCCTTTTATCTCTTTTTCTTATTCAAGGGTTTTTATCTATTGAACCAATTGGCCTACCACGCTTCAAGCGGGTTATGAATTAATATCAATTCTATTTAGAGCATTAACAATTGGTATATGTACTTTGGTTACCCTTTTTGTGTCGGTAAAAACATCTATTAATTGATTGACTAATTTTGTAAATGAATTAGCCTTTAAACTTCCAGTTCGTATTTGATATGATCCTGTCCAGGAAAGAGTACGAATGCTTCTGAATTTGAATATTCAAGACTCACAACAACAATAAATCATATAATTATGAGAAATAAGACAGGGATGACAGGGATGAGGGACACTATAATCTAGAAGATTGATAAGTCAAGTGAAGATTCGTTATAAAGATGTTACTTTTTTATAAGAATTAGAGTTATAATCTAAGAATCAAGAGAATCCTCTCTCAAAGAATGCAAATTCATATAATTTGACTCAAAAGTATCTACATATGTATTTGGTATCCTATGGACATAAATGTTTAAGCCGCTAAAAAATTTCTGAAAGAAAGTCCAAAGACATCGAACTCAAAAATAACTTAAAAAATTAAAGATAGAACGACCTAAAAGACATCAGACCAAAAAATAACTTGAAAATTTAAAGACAAATGAATTGTTTGCAATTAAAAGAAAATTAAAAATACTTTTAAATTCCTAAACTATTGTATAATTGCTCTTCAAGTCATGATCTTCACATCCTTTAAAATTTTTAATCTTTATAGAGCATCATCCCTCAAGAAGATTTATACTTTCAAGTGTTTGCTTCTTGATCTTGTCATAGATCCTTTGAATTGTATGATTCTTTCTCAAATTCTTTTTCTATTGAATTAAGGGATAATCTTCTATCATTCCTTCCTTCTTAAAACGAATTTGTCTTCAAATTTGTACATACATAAATACATAAAATTTAATAAATCAAAGTTAAACGAGTTTGGTTTTAAGTCAATCCATCTATCAAATCAATACATATCAAATTTAATAAATTTAATAAATATTATTAATGTAATAATTTATAAAAGATCATGAACCTTCTCATAAAACAATGCTACTAAAGTATATAATGAACCAATGAGTAGTCAAAGCCTTAGTCAAAAATAGTGACTCCTAAATTTGAATTCATAATATTAATACCTTTTATATTGTGACTCACTACTGCATGGTACTAAATTGACAAGACGATTACTTACAAACTTCAAGAAGATGCAGTCATGATAAATTAATCAGTTAAATTTTATAAAAAAAAAACCCACAAATATTGTCAAAGCTAGATATGTTCAATTAAAAACTGACCATACCCTTCAAACATCATTCCACAAAAACAAACATATAATTAGTGAAATTATGTATAATAACTCCTATGAAACATGAAACCTAATAACACATGTTGTTGCTGAAGCAATGCTTGAATTGGGAAGTCTAAGATTTAGGTAAAGATTTTGCAAGCCTAGAAGGAAGATAAGTTCAAAATACATTAATTGAGAAGTTCACCATTTTTGTCTTATGTGAAGAGAGAATGAAGAAGATAAGGAAATAGTGAAGATGAAGTGTCTTGTTTTAAATAACTTGCACAACTCATGTTTCCACCATCAATGGTTATTAACCCTAGTTTGGCCCTTAGAAATTCAAGTGAGACACGACACTTCATGCATTTTTTTTCTTATTCTTAAAGCCAATCATTTTTTATTCAACAAGAAAACTCAAGTAGATACATTTCAAGATCACCAACTTGGTCATATTGCTTCATACTATTATATTATATTTCAACATAAAGAATCTAAACCAAAACTATTTTTGAAAAACTTAATATTTTTTATGATTTGTAGTTCTATATAGGTTTATAATTTTACTCTATGATTTTATTTGTTTAAATAAGTTTATTCTCGATGTAAATAATCATAAATTGAAAGTTAATCAATTTAAATTTAAATATATTGTGATTATTTTCCTACCTTTTTGTTTTATCTTAAAAAGTAATAATATTTAAGTAAATATAAATATGAAACAATGGAGACAAGGAAATTTAAACTTAAGATTTAAAAGTTATTGTATTCAATAGTTTCACATCATTAATCTTACTGATAATTTAGATATATTTTTTTCTTTCAACTTTCTGAAAACATCTTTTAAGAATACAAGAATAACAAAGTTATATAACAAACAATTTCTAAAATGTAATGATTTACTTTAATGATATCATCTTAATAAACTTCATCTATAAGATGAAAACAAAATCTTAAGCACAAGTTTTCATTTTTAGAAGTTGAAACTCTCGTTCCCTTAACCTCAACTTTTTCTTAGTCCTGGACTAACAATAGTTTAAATATTTAAAATGAATAATTTTTTGAATGAAAAGATTAATCTTAATATTATCTCGATAAATTTAATATTAAAACAAAAAGTATTTAATATTGTGAGTTTCATAAAATCTCATTTCAATACTGAAGTTTAGAATCAGCAACATCAGCATCAAACTGAGAGTTGAAGATTGATCCAAACATGTTTAAGCTATCTGATTAATTAGTCAAATACTAATCAACCATCAAATTCCTTAAAAGCAATATATAGCAACTGAAGAGTGTACACGTTAATCTCTTCACTAATCCTTATTATTAAGCAAAAAATATGTGGTGGAAAAGATTTGATTGTAATTGGTAGTTGTGTGTTGTCTTTTGCAGTGCCTAATCATAGTTTGTGTTTGTGTGGACACCTCTATCGTTCTTCCAAAGGCTGTTTTTTCTCTTTGTTTTTTTTTTATTACATGCTGTTTTTAATTTCGTCGTCAATAAAAAAGTATTTTCGTTTTATTTTGAATTTAATAACAATTATTAAAAATATTAATTTCATTTGTTAGGTAATTATAGGAAAAGGTAAGATGTTTACCCTTTCTCGGTAATTTATAATAGAATAACGATTCTAAAACACACGAATTATATTTAAAGATGATCAACCTTAAAAATATTATTTATTTTCTCTGGTTTTTGACATAAAAGTATATTTACTATAACATTTCTTAGATTTGTTAAGCTGTCGTGTCATGTTAGAAATTGCAAGACAAATTTCTTGAATATATATATTTTTTAATTATCTTTAACTAAGAATTAAATTTGTGACTTTGAACTTAATGTTAATCATTAAATTTAATGCTTATTAATTTACCTCACTTGTACTAAAAACAATTAGTACATCATATAAGAGTAAAAAATTGTTTATTTACTTGTAGTATTAAAAGTAAAGATATGGCTTGTAAAACAATTAATACTTTATTTCATCTTAAAAAATAGCACTTAGATTGAACATTTTTCTTCTTTCAATGCAAGAAGCATTTTATGTGATGTTAAAGTAAGGTAAGAAAATTAGAAGTTTAGGAACAAATTGTGATTTTGTGAACACAATCATTTACATTGAGAGTTATAACTATCGAATTGATGAGTGCCCTAAACTAATTTATATTAATGATTTAATAATGGTAATGATGTAACGTAGGGTACCCTACACTCACTCATAGAAAACTATTTTTATCTTCTTGATTGGTATGCTCTCTACGTCACTTTTTCAACAACTCAATTAATATAAGTAATTTTTTCATCAAACACGTTGTCATTACATCATATTATAAAAATTTTAAAATATCATTTCTTTATTATAATTAAGTTGAGGCATCAAAACCCATTGAAGCTGTTAACACAAGAAAAAAAAAGTTAAGTATAAATGTTTCTTTTTTATATTAATTTTTAACTATAATTAGAGTTTTAATTAGACAAAAGGGTCAATTTTAGTAAAATATTTTTTTTCCCGCCTTTTTGTTTTCTTTAATGAGAAATTATGTGACTGATATAAATTAGAAAACAATGTAAGTATTTTCTAAATAATAAGAGTGAAAATAGAAAATAATATTAAAAATTTATAATATTTAAGATTTGAAATAATAAATAGACTAAAATAAATAAGAACATCTCTATATTCTAAAAATTAAAAACTTATATGAATCTTGATATTTTTATGATAGAAGTTACTAAAGTAAAACTCTAATAATAATCAAAACAACATCCAAAACACCAAATGAAAATATTCTTAATTTATGTTTAGAAAAATTTAAATCCAAACAGGATTAACCTTGCATGAAATGATATCACTATCAATGAAAGACACTAGGGCACTATGTTGAGAACTGAGCACAAATATATATACTAGAACAACAAAAGAAAACATTAGGAGAATACCGATATATCAAATAATCTAAAGTTGAAAAGTATAATTTTTACGATTAATAAATAATTCTATATTTAATATGGAGGTAGAAAAGAGTCTAGAATAAATAATAAATAAAGACACAATAAGTACAAGTGTGGAATATTGTAGAAACAGAGTGTACCTGAAAGTACATGAAATCCTCATAGAGCTGTTTACCATGCTGTCGTTAGAAAGCTGCCACATCAAGAGTTAGGACACACAATAGACCAAAAGCAGAAGAAACGTCACAGCACACATTCTAAATTGGGACGAAGAGGTGAAGGAGGAAAAAAAACAGAGGAAGTGCTCTGTTTTCTTTGTGGTTTCTCTGGGTTCGTGATTTTCATCAAAAGATCTCACCTTTAGTGCTGTGGACAAGTTTTGCTTGAGATGGCTGACAAGGAAGAAGCCATGCATGCTGTTTTGAAGGAAGCTGTGGATTTGGTACTGAACAGACCAACCCATACCTCTGTTTCTTACTTCTTTGTTCACATAATTGCTTCAACTTTGTGAACTGTTTATCTTTGGTTCCTGTCCTGTGATTTTGCAGTTTTTTTAGTACTTTTTAAAGAAAAAATATGGGGATGGTGAGTGTTTTCTGGGTTTTGTTTTGTTGTTTTTGGAGTTGGGAGTTTAAAGTTTTGTTCTGTTTTTGGCAAATTTCCACTGTTTTAGTTTGGATTTTTATTGTTTTGAATTTATTTATTTATTGTTACATTTGGTTAAATTTTTTTGCAGGAAAACGTGCCACTCGAAGAGGTTTTTCAGACTCTGAGGTGTGATTCAAATGGACTCACAACAAAATCTGCTGAGGAGAGGTTGGCCATTTTTGGCCACAACAAACTTGAAGAGAAACAGGTCCTTCCCTTCAATTTTTCTTCTTGTGCTTCATTTTTGGCCTTTTCCATCTACACTAGGGAAAGGTGCTTTGTAGTTGCAGATGGGAAAACATCCCTTTCTCCATTATTTGATGGGAAAAATGTAAAGTTCACCTCCATTTTGGGTTGATAGGAAATTAGAGATGGACAGGGAAAAAAAAGTAAGGAAAGTGGCATATATGGTAAGTGATATGATGAAAAAGGAATAGACATAGAAAGAAAATTGAGGTCAAAGGAAATCAAAGAGAGTTGTTATCATATTATGAGTTGCTGGTAATAAATTTATTGAAGAACTTAGAAAGCGAGCTGCTCCTACTTTTAATTGGAAGCTGGTTCCTAGATGCAATTTAAGTTTTTTGTGCTGAGCTTTTTGTTGTTTTTGCAGGAGAGCAAGGTTTTGAAGTTTTTGGGATTTATGTGGAATCCTCTTTCATGGGTCATGGAAGCTGCAGCAATCATGGCCATTGCTATGGCCAATGGAGGCGTAAGTTGCTGCACACCTTTAATAATTGTTTTGTTTAAAATGTTTATTTTGATTTTTGTGTGTGAATGCTGAGAATGGAAGAAAGACTTTCTGAAATTGTAGTACAAGTTTCTTTTGGAATTGCATTATGTTATTGGTTTTGCCAATTTCCTTAATTTTTCATCTTCACATTCATCAGGGCAAACCTCCTGATTGGCAAGACTTCGTTGGGATTATCACACTCCTTATTATCAATTCAACAATAAGTTTCATAGAGGAGAACAATGCTGGTAATGCCGCAGCAGCTTTGATGGCTCGTCTAGCACCTAAAGCAAAGGTATTAGTTGTTAGGTAACTCATTTTCAAGAAAGTGAAAATAATTTGCTTCCATTTGATGTATCTCAATTCATGCACCGATTAATATCAGCCATAATAACTGGTTTCATGTTGGGCTAACATGATTCCTAAGAGATCCTTTGTTGTTGTGGATAGCATACAATAAAGGACTTTGGTGTGAAATATGATGTTTTGTCTTAATTTGACTTTTACTGATAATATTATAAAATTCTTATTCAGGTCCTTCGGGATGGGAAATGGATTGAAGAGGATGCCAGTGTTCTTGTTCCAGGGGATATAGTTAGTGTTAAGCTAGGTGATATTATCCCTGCGGATGCTCGTTTACTTGAAGGTGATCCGTTGAAGATTGATCAGGTGCAACTTGTAGTCTTTACTGTTTCATCTTCTGCTATTTGATTATCATATTTATTATGTTGGTTGCTTAAGTTTCTGGTTTGGGTTACAGTCCGCACTTACTGGTGAGTCTCTTCCTGTGACAAAAGGCCCTGGTGATAGTGTTTATTCAGGCTCCACATGCAAGCAGGGAGAGATAAATGCAGTTGTTATAGCCACGGGAGTTCATACCTTCTTTGGCAAAGCTGCTCACCTTGTGGACTCCACAAATCAAGTTGGTCATTTTCAGAAGGTAAAATGAACTTCAATCTCTTTAATTAAACTGTATTTCTTCAAAAATAAGAAGGAAATAAATAATTTACTGGGCAGATGCAACTTAATGTCACTCAGTGCAGGACTAGGACCTAAAGAATTAGCAAGACTTTACTGTGGTATTGTTTAGCAAATATATAGGTTTTGTTCTATGTCTGGTACATTTTTAAATTAGAACATAATAAAAGGTGGTACATTTTGGTTTCACTGAAAACGGAGGAACCAAAAAGAAAAGAATATAACAAAATGTCTTGTATTATCTTCTCCATGTGCTTACCACTACCTAAAGATAATTTAAGAAAACATGCAGTGATATGTGATTTTAATTTGTTGGCTTCAATGAGCCCCTTTTGATTTTGTTGTCTCCTTTATATATAGAACCATTTGCTTCACAATGATACTTAGCTTGTTCTGAGTTACTTAAATAGGTTCTGACTGCTATTGGGAACTTCTGCATATGTTCCATTGCTGTGGGAATGATAATAGAGATCATTGTCATGTACCCAATTCAACACCGACAATATCGTCCTGGGATTGACAATCTGCTTGTGCTTCTCATTGGAGGAATTCCTATAGCCATGCCTACTGTTTTGTCAGTGACAATGGCTATTGGATCCCATCGCTTAGCTCAACAGGTAGACATTAGTGCTTCTTGAAAAGTGGTTGTCTCATGTTTTATATCAAATAGTATAGAATTTAAGGGGTTATGCATTATACAATCATTGCAGGGTGCTATTACTAAAAGAATGACAGCCATAGAAGAGATGGCAGGAATGGATGTATTATGTAGTGACAAAACTGGAACTTTGACTTTGAATAAACTGTCAGTAGACAAGAATCTTATTGAGGTTAGAAGTAGTCAGTTTTGAATTGTGTTTTTTGCTGATTTTTTTGTGTGGTATTCTTACACAAGTGGTTTTAATGTTCTCTGTAGATTTTTACTAAAGGAGTTGATGTAGATACAGTTGTTCTCATGGCTGCTCGGGCTGCAAGATTGGAAAACCAAGATGCTATAGATGCTGCTGTTGTAGGGATGTTAGGTGATCCAAAAGAGGTACAGTCATATATGATAATCCATCTTTTTCGTGTATGAAAACCATGCTGTTGAATTTAAATGTTGTTGTAGCATTGTGCTCATTACTACCTTTTCTGATTGATACATGCTGTTGTATCTGATTTGTTTAAAACTTAGGCAAGAGCTGGTGTTCAAGAGGTTCACTTCCTTCCCTTCAATCCAACTGACAAACGGACTGCCATGACTTATGTAGACAGTGAAGGTAAAATGCATCGCGTGAGCAAAGGTGCACCAGAACAGGTACTTTCATGAGCCAGCTCACTACTTTTGTATAACGGTTTCTCATAACTACAGAACTGATTCATACTTTTAACTATGACTAGATTTTGAATCTTTCACACAATAAGTCAGAGATAGAACGCAGAGTTCATTCTGTCATCGATAAGTTTGCAGAGCGTGGCTTACGGTCTCTTGCAGTGGCTTACCAGGTACATCATACATGTGTATTTGTGCTCTTACTTTTGCGGTGGAAATAGCAAATTAAAGTTACATTGCATGTCACTGCTGACAGCATTTATAACTATTTCGCAGGAAGTTCCTGATGGGATAAAAGAAAGCCAAGGAGGGCCTTGGCAATTTCTTGGACTCTTGCCTCTGTTTGACCCCCCTAGACATGATAGTGCTGAGACAATAAGAAGGGCAT